GCCCTCTCATGTACCTATAGAACGTCTCTCTTCCAAGACAAGGGAGACCAAGAGAGCGACTAACTTCCCATAATTGTTGGTAACCAATGCCTGCCATCGCAATCGAAGCTATATATTTGGGAAGGAGAAGGGAGGATTGAGGGCCCTTTTTACTCCCCTTACCTGTTGTGTGGCCTCGCTTTGTGGACCAAAAATGTTCGAGTTTGCCGCACTTCTCACACGCCCATTCAAGGCGAAAGCATGCCCAGACTTGCTTCCAGGACTTGATGACCATTTTCCCCTGACATCCAGAACCTTTGCTGCAGCATACGCTCAATGTGCTGAAAAAACGGATGAGCTGCCGAGGGTCCAGCAAGCATACCAATCCATTGGCCATTGGACGCGTGGTTGAGGGAAGTGGGTTGTTCGGTGGTACCTCCGGTGCTTTGTCCATATGCTCTCCTCTCCTGTTGATAGATGCCAAGTATGGAAAGAATACCAAGGTGCAAATTATGAATCACAATCATACAAACGAATGCAACACATATATGGACACGTCATCTATTTGGAGTAGTGGTGTGGAAGATATGGAACCCCCCCTACCTTGTATGCGTTTCTTCACTAGCCGGCCCTGGCGTACAACCGCATGCTGCTGCCCCATCGGTTGAGGTGTTTTCCAAGGGCCCACCATTAGCCTGACATTCGCCAACCACCACCTCCCCACCAGGCTGTTGAAGTCCCCCACTCCCATCTCCAATGCCCTCCAAAACACCGCCTACATCTGTCAATTCTCTTGGGGTTGCGTGGCTGTTCATGACAGGCTCTTCGGTGTTCCCCATGGAGCTGCGCTTCACAATTGGCCTCGACATGTGCACCTGCCAATGCAAGGCATGTGTCAATCCTGATCAACTGCTGTGATGATGTTATTGCTGGGTTTATCAGCTGCTGGTCGAGCACCTCATTTTCGCCCTCTATTGCAAGGTCTTACCTGAAGCTTTCAAAGCCTCGTAGTTCACACCCTTTCTGGATCCTCCGTGATAAAAGCCCATATCCGGTACTACCCGCCCCCTTTCATCTTTCTTGTATGTCGGTATCTGATACTCAAAGTCAGGTGCACAACGGGGGCTCCTATTCAGTATCTCCTGCACGGACTCCCCATCCCCCTTGCTCTTTCTTTGAAATTTACTCCACTGTGCATCAAGGTGGAGTTGTGCTGTGATGCGGGCACTGCCTCCCCCGGTTCCTGACGTTTGAGTACCACAATAAAAGGGGAGGGAGGCTTGGTGGGGTTGAGGGCATGGTGGTTTCACGCAGCATCACAACACCTGCTGCAGCACTCACGCTCTGGTTTTCATGCTCCACTTGTAGCAGCAACATGAGCTTGGGTTTATACCTCCTAGGGCAAGCGGAGAGGTAACCACTGGTTTTTAAGCTCCGCTTGCAAGCAGCAACATGAGCACTGGTTTCATGCCCCGCTTGCAAGCAGCAATATGAGCACTGGTTTCATGCTCCGGTTGCAAGCAGCAATATGAGCACTGGTTTCATGCTCCGGTTGCAAGCAGCAATATGGGCTCTAGCTCACCTTTCTTGCAAGCATCCTTCTTGGTTTGGTCTATACACTTCCTAAGCCCCCTTACACGAAGCGGGCGCCCAACGACCCACCCACCAGCTTGTTCCGCAGCAGCAAACAGTTTTGACACAGCTTCTCCAGCCTCTGATGCGAGCACATAGAGCACGTCATTAGCGCTTGCGACATAATCTCCTCCTCTCAGAGCCGTTAACCCACAGCGCATCATCGCCATAGGAATCAGCATGTGTATTTCGATGGTCACGTTACGTTGCTTTATTGTATCCAAGATAGGCTTGAAGCACGGTGGTGTGGAGTCGCATGCTCGATTTGTGGCATTGGATGCATCCGTCTCCACATCCACCTGGAGTGTCATAATGCGTTTTGGGATGTGGATTTGGAATGGAATGTGGGGAGACAAGTGGAGTATATGAGAGGTGCAGCGAAGGGAGACAAGTGGGGTATCTGAGATGAGTAGGGAGGGGAGACAAGTGGAGCAGATGAGAGGAGCTGACTGAGGGGAGACAAGTAAGGCATATGAGAGGAGCAGGGAAGGGAGACAAGTGGGGTATATGAGAGGAGCAGGGAGGGGAGACAAGTGGGGTATATGAGAGGAGCAGGGAGGGGCGACAAGTGGGGCAGATGAGAGGAGCAGAGAGGGGAGTCAAATGGAATATATGAGAGGAGGCAGGTGGGGAGACAAGTGGGGTATATGAGAGGAGCAGGGAGGGGAGACAGGTGGAGCAGATGAGAGGAGCAGGGAGGGGAGAAAGTGGGGTATGTGAGAGGAGCAGGGAGGGGAGACAAGTGGGGCAGATGAGAGGAGCAGGGAGGGGAGAAAGTGGGGTATGTGAGAGGAGCAGGGAGGGGAGACAAGTGGGGCAGATGAGAGGAGCAAGGATGGGAGACATGTGGGGTATATGAGAGGAGCAGGGAGGGGAGACAAGTGGGGTATATGAGAGGAGCAGGGAGGGGAGACAAGTGGGGTATATGAGAGGAGCAGGGAGGGGAGACAAGTGGGGTATATGAGAGGAGCAGGGAGGGGAGACAAGTGGAGCAGATGAGAGGAGCAGGGAGGGGAGACAAGTAAGGCATATGAGAGGAGCAAGGAGGGGAGACAAGTGGGGTATATGAGAGGAGCAGGGAGGGGAGACAAGTGGGGTATATGAGAGGAGCAGGGAGGGGAGACAAGTGGAGCAGATGAGAGGAGCAGGGAGGGGAGACAAGTGGAGCAGATGAGAGGAGCAGGGAGGGGAGACAAGTAAGGCATATGAGAGGAGCAGGGAGGGGAGACAAGTGGGGTATATGAGAGGAGCAGGGAGGGGAGACAAGTGGGGTATATGAGAGGAGCAGGGAGGGGCGACATGTGGGGCAGATGAGAGGAGCAGGGATGGGAGACAAATGGGGTATGTGAGAGGAGCAGGGAGGGGAGACAAGTGGGGCAGATGAGAGGAGCAGGGATGGGAGACAAGTGGGGTATATGAGAGGAGCAGGGAGGGGAGACAAGTGGGGTATATGAGAGGAGCAGGGAGGGGAGACAAGTGGAGCAGATGAGAGGAGCAGGGAGGGGAGACAAGTAAGGCATATGAGAGGAGCAGAGAGGGGAGACAAGTGGGGTATATAAGAGGAGCATTGAGAGGAGACAAGTGGGGTATATGAGAGGAGCAGGGAGGGGCGACAAGTGGGGCAGATGTGAGGAGCAGGGAGGGGAGACAAGTGGGGTATATGAGAGGAGCAGGAAGGGGACACAAGCGGAGCAGATGAGAGGAGCAGGGAGGGGGCAAGTGGGGCAGATGAGAGGAGCAGGGAGGGGAGACAAATGGAATATATGAGAGGAGGCGGGTGGGGAGACAAGTGGGGTATATGAGAGGAGCAGGGAGGGGAGACAAGTGGAGCAGATGAGAGGAGCAGGGAGGGGAGAAAGTGGGGTATGTGAGAGGAGCAGGGAGGGGAGACAAGTGGGGCAGATAAGAGGAGCAGGGAGGGGAGAAAGTGGGGTATGTGAGAGGAGCAGGGAGGGGAGACAAGTGGGGCAGATGAGAGGAGCAAGGATGGGAGACATGTGGGGTATATGAGAGGAGCAGGGAGGGGAGACAAGTGGGGTATATGAGAGGAGCAGGGAGGGGAGACAAGTGGGGTATATGAGAGGAGCAGGGAGGGGAGACAAGTGGGGTATATGAGAGGAGCAGGGAGGGGAGACAAGTGGAGCAGATGAGAGGAGCAGGGAGGGGAGACAAGTAAGGCATATGAGAGGAGCAAGGAGGGGAGACAAGTGGGGTATATGAGAGGAGCAGGGAGGGGAGACAAGTGGGGTATATGAGAGGAGCAGGGAGGGGAGACAAGTGGAGCAGATGAGAGGAGCAGGGAGGGGAGACAAGTGGAGCAGATGAGAGGAGCAGGGAGGGGAGACAAGTAAGGCATATGAGAGGAGCAGGGAGGGGAGACAAGTGGGGTATATGAGAGGAGCAGGGAGGGGAGACAAGTGGGGTATATGAGAGGAGCAGGGAGGGGCGACATGTGGGGCAGATGAGAGGAGCAGGGATGGGAGACAAATGGGGTATGTGAGAGGAGCAGGGAGGGGAGACAAGTGGGGCAGATGAGAGGAGCAGGGATGGGAGACAAGTGGGGTATATGAGAGGAGCAGGGAGGGGAGACAAGTGGGGTATATGAGAGGAGCAGGGAGGGGAGACAAGTGGAGCAGATGAGAGGAGCAGGGAGGGGAGACAAGTAAGGCATATGAGAGGAGCAGAGAGGGGAGACAAGTGGGGTATATGAGAGGAGCATTGAGAGGAGACAAGTGGGGTATATGAGAGGAGCAGGGAGGGGCGACAAGTGGGGCAGATGTGAGGAGCAGGGAGGGGAGACAAGTGGGGTATATGAGAGGAGCAGGAAGGGGACACAAGCGGAGCAGATGAGAGGAGCAGGGAGGGGGCAAGTGGGGCAGATGAGAGGAGCAGGGAGGGGAGACAAATGGAATATATGAGAGGAGGCGGGTGGGGAGACAAGTGGGGTATATGAGAGGAGCAGGGAGGGGAGACAAGTGGAGCAGATGAGAGGAGCAGGGAGGGGAGAAAGTGGGGTATGTGAGAGGAGCAGGGAGGGGAGACAAGTGGGGCAGATAAGAGGAGCAGGGAGGGGAGAAAGTGGGGTATGTGAGAGGAGCAGGGAGGGGAGACAAGTGGGGCAGATGAGAGGAGCAGGGATGGGAGACAAGTGGGGTATATGAGAGGAGCAGGGAGGGGAGACAAGTGGGGTATATGAGAGGAGCAGGGAGGGGAGACAAGTGGGGTATATGAGAGGAGCAGGGAGGGGAGACAAGTGGGGTATATGAGATGAGCAGGGAGGGGAGACAAGTGGAGCAGATGAGAGGACCAAGGAGGGGAGACAAGTGGGGCAGATGAGAGGACCAAGGAGGGGAGTCAAATGGGGTATATGAGAGGAGGCGGGTGGGGAATCAAGTGGGGTATATGAGAGGAGCAGGGAGGGGAGACAAGTGGAGCAGATGAGAGGACCCACACGGGGAGACAAGTGGGGTATGTGAGAGGAGCAGGGAGGGGAGACAAGTGGGGTATATGAGAGGAGCAGGGATGGGAGACAAGTGGGGCATAGGAGAGGAGAGGGGATGGGAGACATCTAGGGCTGGTGTGATGTGAGACAATCGGGTTTGATAAGAGGAGAGCGAAGGACAAAACGGTGAGGATGATGAGAGATGAGGAGAGGGAACACTAGTGAGGGGAGGAATGTGAGCGTGGAGGGGAGGAATGTGAGCGCGGAGGGGAGGAATGTGAGGGCGGAGGGAGGGTAGGGGCGCGGAGGGGAGGAATGTGAGGGCAGAGGGAGGGTAGGGGCGCGGAGGGGAGGAATGTGAGGGCGGAGGGAGGGTAGGGGCGCGGAGGGGAGGAATCATGTGAGCGTAGAGGGGAGGAATATGAGCGCGGATGGTAGGAATGCGAATGCGTAGGGGGAAGGGAGGAATGTGAGCGCGGAGGCGGAGGAATGTGAGCGAGGAGGGGGAGGAATGTGAGTGAGGAGGTGGAGGAATGTGAGTGAGGAGGTGGAGGAATGTGAGCGAGGAGGTGGAGTGGAGGAACGTGAGAGCGGAGGGGAGGAATGTGGCCGTGGAGGGGGAGGGGAGGAATGTGAGGGCAGAAGGGAGGAATGCGATCGCGGAGGGGAAGAATGTGAGGGCGGAGGGGAGGGTAGGGGCTCGGAGGGGAGGAATATGAGCGCGGAGGGAGAGGAATGTGAGCGAGGAGGGGGAGGAATGTGTGCGCGGAGGGGGAGGGGAGGAATGTGAGCGAGGAGGGGGAGGAATGTGTGCGCGGAGGGGGAGGGGAGGAATGTGAGCGAGGAGGCGGAGGGGAGGAACGTGAGAGCGGAGGGGAGGAATGTGAGAGCGGAGGGGGAGGAATGTGAGCGTGGAAGGGAGGAATGTGAGCGCGGATGGGCCGAATGTGAGCGCGGATGGGCCGAATGTGAGCGAGGATGGGCCGAATGTGAGCGCGGATGGGCCGAATGTGAGCGCGGATGGGCCGAATGTGAGCGCGGATGGGCCGAATGTGAGCGCGGATGGGCCGAATGTGAGCGCGGATGGGCCGAATGTGAGCGCGGATGGGCCGAATGTGAGCGCGGAGGGGAGGAATGCGAGCGCGGATGGGCCGAATGTGAGCGCGGAGGGGAGGAATGCGAACGCGGAGGGGAGGAATGCGAACGCGGAGGGGAGGAATGCTGGCGGATGCGGAGGGTGTTAGAGATTAAGGACGGAGTCTATGAAGATTAGGTGCCCAAATATCACAAAATCGTTGGTCTTCAATTCTGGACAGAAACCGCGATTTCACAAGAAACGCCGTCGACGAAAAACTAACCGTTAGAATTCCGTCAAACTCGAGTATGTTGTAGCGCTAGACCGTGGCTACAATTCCCAATTTGAATCACCTCAAAAGATGGAGTATATCTCGAGTTATGCTTTTTCGGCGCACTAGGGGGTATGCTGCCACATAGAAACTTAACTCACTCACAATAGTTCTCACAAGTTCACAAGTTACACACAAGAGTTAGAGTAGCTCTAAACCAGATGGGAGGGAAGAGGAGGACGAGAGGGAAGGTCCCAAGAGAGTCCCCAACCAAAGAAACCCCATGCCACACAAATCCCCTCTCCATAGGCAACCCCACTTTCACATTTGTCACTTTCCCAACTCATGCCATCCACCTCAACCCACTTGGCCACACTTGCCAACCTGGTTTGGCTTCTCCCAACCACATGGCAGCATTCTACAGTGATGGGTTCGAATTCCCAACCCCCAAAAGTCTGTACCCCATATTGAGTCAACCCAACAAGTTCCCATAGTCGCCGCAACCAAAGTACAGAAAGCATACGAACTCCAACGTTCGTAACTTTCTTGATATTGCTCCGATCGCGACGATTCTTGGCTCGTCGGAAAGCTCTTGAGTAGAGCTGTCACTTCAGATATCTGCCCAAGCCAAATATCATCCACACACACTCAAGAAAACCAAACCGCACAAGCATATGATGGGAGGCAGACAGACGTGAATGCGAATGATAGCATCACAACAGAGGGGAGGAATGCGAACGCGGAGGGGAGGAATGCTGGCGGATGCGGCAGCTCCCCACTCCAAGGCATGGCGGGCAAACGAGGGGGGACGCGGCGCGGGCACAGGTAACCCGTGGCTATGCAACATTTACACTCCTAAGGCCCTTGTTTGTTCTTCGCGCCTAAATTTTGTACGTCGCATCCATCCGACTGAACGCGGTGAAGACTATCCACTAACTTGCTGTGCCTTACATTGCGCCTTCTATTACGGCGACGAGACCTCATTGCAGGCGTCGCGACGAATGCGGAGGGATTCTACATACGGTACTATCCTACGCAATGTTGCTTCTCCAATGCGTTATTATGTCGATGTAGGCTTCCGTGAATCGTCTTCGAGTGATTCACGCGCGAGAACAGGATGTGCTGCTGGGGGTGAATGAGTTTGCTGTAGTTACTTCTGGCGTGGGATTTCAATCGTTCTCCTCTGCTAGTCATTTCCACATTCTGTCTCGAGTTGTTTGGCTGATGTTTTGCGTTTGACATTGCGGGGCTGGCGACTCTTTCCGTGGTTGAGGTCGCCTGGGGTCGCAGAATAGGCTTCCAGGGCTGGTTTGGTGAGGTGACCAATCAAAATGCATAACAAACCAACCTGTCACTTCGGTGCAAATAACATAGTAACCAGCCGTCAAGTGTTTTGCAGTTGACAACAATTTCCGGTACTTGAGATCCTGGCTTTAATATATCTACATGCCGTAACGGAATGCAAACAAAGTCGTACAGGAGTCATATCACGTTCCCCAAGCCGAACACGCCTGTGGGCCTAGTTGGTCGGGATGTTTTGTGTGATTACCCAAACCCTTCCGATAGCGCTTCTTGCCACGCGGCACAGACTTAGCCGTGTAAGTTCGTCACACGACCTGTGCACTTGAGATGGGGACACGTTGCTCTCGAGAAAACGGCCTTGGGTGGACCGCCGACAGGTGTCGTAAGATCTCTAGCTTTCACCACGTCACTCCGTCCTACGCAGCAAGCTCCCACCCATCCAACGCCAACGCAAACCAGCAGCGCGTTTACCTCGCTGACCTCAAGAGCAGCTCAAGGCAACCCTATATATTCCCACTGACACTTAACCGTAATACATTCCCCAGGCCACCTTTCGGGTTCTACCAGTTTGATTCCACATCATACCAAGTCGCGCTGACACGCGACTCATTGGAGCACTGAACAGCAACCTGGAGATAAACACCCCTTTTTCCACCATTTCCCACTGACCACTCGTAGCTGGTCAGATTAGACCAGGCATCATCAGACCAGTTTGAGATTCCCAGGTCTTGCCCCGCTCAATCTTGCGAGGGAACTGCTCAGCCCAGTATCAGCAGTCTGATAAGGAGGGAGGTTTTCTGACCTAGTTTAATTTCCGTGCTGGTCACTCTCCCTGACCCGTGCTGATCAGCCATGGCGGCCCTCGAAGCGTGCTCAGCGTCCAGGCTGTGCGTCTCAGCAGCAACCCGCCAAACAGCCGCTGCGCGGCGAAGAGCCACAGTCTGCTCTGCGGACTCCTCTCCCCTCCTCTACAAGCCTCTCGCCGCCTCCTCTTCCACTCAGTTCACCTCCTTCTCGCCTCTCCCTCTCCGCGCGTCGTCCACCCCGTCTTCCCGCTCCCGCTCGCAACGCTCGTCCGTGCGATGCGCGGCGGCGGACCGCCCGGCGTCGCAGCCGCGCATGATCCAGCACAAGCAGGAGGCGTTTTGGTTCTACCGCTTCCTGTCGATTGTGTACGATCATATCATCAACCCCGGTCACTGGACCGAGGACATGCGCGACGACGCACTCGAGCCGGCCGATCTCAACGACCGCAATCTGCGCGTGGTTGACGTGGGAGGCGGCACGGGGTTCACGACGCTCGGTGTGGTCAAGCACGTGGACGCGAAGAACGTGACGATTCTCGACCAGTCGCCGCACCAGCTTGCGAAGGCGAAGGAGAAGGCGCCGCTGAAGGACTGCACGATCATCGAGGGCGACGCGGAGGACCTGCCGTTCCCCACGGACTACGCCGACCGTTACGTGTCTGCTGGCAGGTGAGAGACGGGGAGCTTATAATGATGTTGTTTACGGAGGGACCATGGCGGTTATAACCGTCGGATCTTCCTACATTAATTTCACTTCAATGCCAAATTCATTATTTGCTTGACAAACCTTCTCCGCGGTCTTATCGATGGGAAGTGCCGCGAGTCTCCTGGCCAACCCTTTCGCGCATCGACTGTATGCCGCGTATGTGACTGCTATTGATGTTAGTGCCACAATAAGGTGACCTTGCTAATACATTGAAGACGTAATATTAACTGAAATTGAAAGACATTTGGAAACTTAGGTTTCCGATTTCCTATTGCCGGCCTTCGCATTGTCTTGTTGTCACTTATCTACGCATCACCTCGTCTCGCCTCATCTTCTTGTCTTATTTTCTTATCTCTTCATCGTCCAGTCGTCTCTTCTTCGTCTCATCTCACATTCCTCTCTGCGTTCCTCGTCCGTCATTCGCGCGTCCCTCTCCCCGCCAGCATCGAGTACTGGCCCGATCCTCAGCGCGGCATCAAGGAAGCCTACCGCGTCATCAAGCCGGGCGGCAAGGCGTGTCTCATCGGCCCCGTGCACCCGACGTTCTGGCTCTCGCGGTTCTTCGCCGACATGTGGATGCTCTTCCCCACGGAGCAGGAGTACATCGACTGGTTCACCAAGGCCGGCTTCTCCGATGTTAAGCTCAAGAGGATCGGCCCTAAGTGGTACCGCGGGGACCGTCGCCACGGACTTATTATGGGCTGCTCCGTTACCGGCGTGAAGACCCAGGGCGCCCGGGGATTCTCCTCTTCAGGTAAGACACGGCTTGCAATGCCTGGAGTGCCTGAAAATCGAAGAAGTCGCGTTGTCAAAGCGGTGACATAGAGACGGGGATTGTAACAATGGAAACGGTTGGGAAGGAAAAAGACGGGGATAGTCAGTGTGTGCTGCTTCCAGGATCATATTCTGGCGTCATTGCCTTAGCATTTTCCTGCAGCATTGAGCTGCTTCCCTCTGCAACCTGTGTTCTCTCTTGCTCCCAGTTTCTGTCCTCGCACTTCTGTCATCTACTTGTCTCCATCTTGTCCTCTTTTGTTTCCTGCCTTCTCACTCCGTCTCTAGCTCTCATCCCCTTCACTATGCATCCGAATTGCATGCAGCATATTGTACATCATGTAATCGTTTTCCTCTCATGGTGCACTTTCCCTGTTTACCTAATCTCCCCTTCTCTTCCTGGTTGTCCCCCCCTATCCAGATGGGTCCCAAGGCTGAGGATGTGAAGGGCCCGTTCAACCCCTTCTCCTTCGCCTTCCGCTTTATCATTGGCACCATCTGCAGTCTCTACTACGTAATCATCCCCGTCTACATGTGGCTCAAAGACCAGCTCCTGCCCAAGGACTGGAAGTTCACTGAGAACTAGATCCGGTATCCGTTTATGAAAGTTTTTCCCTTTTTAACTTGTTATCAATTTTGAAGTCTTTGTGAATTATACTTGCTTTACTATCATACCTAGGCAAGTTGTCAAGCAGGTTAATCCATAGCACCAGGGCTCAGGTTATCAGTATAATTTACCCTTCTACACTGATTACAAGGGTGAAATTTTGGGTCTACACTGATGTGCTGGGGTAATTTTTTTATGAGTTAGTGTTACACTGATCAGTAAGTGTATCGATGTAGGCCACACTGATGCCTTGGGGTAAAGTTTCCCTTAGCGAGGATTACACTGAAGAGCGTAGACAAACCCCCACACCCAAAAGTGGGATAGTCCATATGGGGTACAGTCCAATTAGGGTTTACTACTTGTACTCCTGCATGCTGCTAGTTCATTCATTCCTGCCTGTAGATTCTGACATGGTATCAGAGCACTAAGGTCCGTAGGACCGTTTTTTTTTTCGGGCCCACCTACCGCTGCGGTTACCGCGCTACCCCACGTACCTGCCTGCCTTGCCTTGCCTTGTGACGTGCTGCACTATGTGCGCCGTCCAGCAGCCCTAGCGCTGCCTCCTGCTGCCCTAGGCCAGCGCGCTGCCCCTAGAGGCCCGTAAGGCCCACGCGCCGCCCCTAGAGGCCCGTAAGGCCCGCGCAGCCCGCTGCAGCCGCGCGCAGCCCGCACAGAGCCCGCGCAGCCCGCGCCGAGCCGCGCGCAGCCCGCACAGAGCCCACGCAGCCCGCGCCGAGCCGCGCACAGCCCGCTGCAGCCGCGCGCAGCCCGCACCGAGCCGCGCGCAGCCCGCTGCAGCCGCGCGCAGCCCGCAGCTGCCGCGCGCAGCCCGCGCCGAGCCCACGCAGCCCGCGTCGAGCCGCGCGCGGCCTGCTACGGCCTCGCGAGGCCCGCGCGCGGCCCGCAGCAGCCCGCGCCGAGCCGCGCGCGGCCTGCTACTGCCTCGCGCGGCCCGCGCGCGGCCCGCAACAGCCCGCGCCGAGCCGCGCGCGGCCCGCTACTACCTAGCGCGGCCGCGCGCGGCCTGCAGCAGCTCAGCGCGCTGTCAGCGCAGCCCGCGCCGAGCCGCGCGCGGCCCTCTGCCTCGGCCACGACCTGCCGCTGATGCGGACCCGCCCTGCAGCTACCACGGCCCCGACCTGCCGCTGATGCGGCCCCGCCCTGCAGCTGCCACGGCCCCGACCTGCCGCTGACGCGGCCCCACCCTGCTACTGCCGCTGAAGCGGCCCCGCCCTGCAGCTGCTTCGGCCCTGCTCTGCAGCCGGTTTTGCGGCCCCGACGCCGCCGCTGTCGTGCGCCTACTCGGCCGCCGCCCGTTGAGCGCCGGCCCTGCTCGCCCGGTGAGCGCCTGCTCTCCCAGCCTTTGGTGAGCGCCTGCCTGCCTGCCTGACGGCCTGCCTGTCTGCCTGCCTGCCTGCCGGCCTGGCTGCCTGCCTGCCTGCCGGCCTGCCTGCCTGCCTGCCTGCCTGCCTGCCTGCCTGCCTGCCTGCCTGCCTGCCTGCCGGCCTGCCTGCCTGCCTGCCTGCCTGCCTGCCGGCCTGCCTGTCTGTCTGCTTGCCTGCCTGCCTGCCTGCCTGCCTGTCTGCCTGCCTGCCTGCCTGTCTGCCTGCCTGCCTGCCTGCCGGCCTGCCTGCCTGCCTGCCTGCCTGCTTGCTTGCCTGCCTGCCGCGCCTGCCTTGCCCGCGCTACTGCTGCTGCTACTGCTACTGGCAGGTGGCCAGATGCAGCTCCAGCGACGTTCACGCGAGCCTCTGACGCCCCAGCAGCTTAGTGAGTGGTATACTAGCTGGGGTTGTCGCAGTAGCCGTCGTAGCTGTCGCCCTGGAGCTGGTCAGTTGGGAGCGTCTGGCAGTGGCCAGCTGCAGCTGCAGGGGCGTCCACGTGAGACACTTACGCCCCGGCAGCTCCAGGAGTGGTACGCTCAGTGTAGCAGGTCTACGCGTACAGTTCGCTGCCCGTACGTCATTCGCACAGGTGCTAGGACTGGTCAGCCTTGTGGGACGCTTGGTCACACACAGTCCCGCTGCTTCGCCCGTCTGAGCGACGACTGGCGCACAGTGTTTGGCGACGAGGCTGAGCTCCCCACCTGGCTGGAGCTGCATGGACAGAGGGTAGATATCTTTGCGCTTGACTATGATGCTATTCTCACTGCCATGTATGCATTGCCTACTAGTGCTGATCGTGCCTGTTCTCTGTGCGTACCGCCTGACCCTGGTGAGGCTGCTGCTCTAGGTGCTAGTGCGTCTCCTGCTCTAGGTGCTGGTGAGGCTGCTGCTCTCGGTGCTAGTACGTCTACTACTCTAGGTACTGTATGGGGTACAGCCCATATGGGGTATAGCCCAATTAGGTTTTACTACTTGTACTCCTGCATGCTGCTAGTTCATTCATTCCTGCTGCTAGATTCTGACATGGTATCAGAGCTTGTTGACTTTGCTGCTGCCTGTCGTCTAGACTACGCCGCTAGTCTTGTTGCTGGGTCTGAGTCTGTCTGTCCTCCGTCCGTCGGGGGTGAGTGTGCTCTTAGCACGGACGTCCTTGAGGATAGGCAGGAGGAGTTCCAGTGTCTTGCTGCTGCTTTACCTCATCTTGTGTCCTCGCTACTTGCCCCTGAGGGAGACCCGGATGCACCAGACATCCCGACTCCGCGCTCTTACGCAGAGGCGATAGAGGGTCCCTACTCCTCTCAGTGGCAGACAGCCATGGACGCAGAGATGGCTTCCTGGAAGTCCACAGGCACCTACGTTGACGAGGTTCCCCCACCTGGGGCGAACATCGTCAGTGGCATGTGGATTTTCAGGGTGAAGCGGCCGCCGGGTTCTCCGCCTGTCTTCAAGGCGCGTTACGTGGCTCGAGGCTTCAGTCAGCGAGAGGGAGTTGACTTCTTCCAGACCTTCTCTCCCACCCCGAAGATGACCACTCTTCGGGTTCTGCTGCATGTTGCTGCTCACCGTGACTACGAGCTTCACTCTCTTGACTTCAGCACAGCTTTCTTGCAGGGCAGCCTGCACGAGGAGATCTGGCTGCGCCGCCCCCCGGGCTTCACTGGGTCGTTCCCTCCTGGCACCCAGTGGAGCCTCCGGCGGCCGGTCTACGGTCTCCGCCAGGCGCCACGTGAGTGGCACGACACACTGAGGACTACGCTTGCGGCTCTTGGGTTCGCGCCTTCTACTGCTGACCCGTCGCTGTTTCTGCGCATCGACACTTCGCTGCCACCGTTCTACATCCTCGTGTACGTCGACGACTTGGTTTTTGCCACTGCTGACACTGAGGCTCTCGCCCACGTGAAGTCGGAGCTACAGAAGAGACACACGTGCACAGACTTGGGTGAGCTGCGCAGCTACCTTGGCTTGCATATCACCCGGGACAGAGCACGCCGCACCATCACCTTGACTCAGTCACACATGGTGCAGCAGGTCCTTCAGCGCTTTGGCTTCACCTGGTCTTCAGCACAGGCCACTCCTCTGGCTACAGGTCACACGCTCTCAGCTCCACCTTCGGACGAGTCCGTAGAGCCGAGTGGTCCTTACCCAGAGCTAGTCGGCTGCCTCATGTACCTGATGACTTGCACTCGACCTGACCTCGCGTACCCTCTTGGTCTTCTGGCTCGCTACGTGGCTCCTGGTCGGCACCGACCTGAGCACATGGCTGCTGCTAAGAGGGTACTGCGCTACTTGTGCAGCACATCAGGCATGGGGCTAGTGCTTGGAGGGACGAGCCCAGTTGTCCTCACTGGGCACTCAGACGCTTCTTGGGTTGACGACCTGGCTACTCAGCGGTCGTCACAGGGTTACACCTTCAGCCTTGGCTCTGGTTCAGTTTCGTGGCGTTCTACACGCTCGTCTTCAGTTCTCGGCTCTAGTTGTGAGGCTGAGATCTACGCCACCGCCATGGCTGCACAGGAGTTACGTTGGCTCACCTACCTGCTGACTGACTTGAGAGAGCAGCCTCGTTCTCCTCCAGTACTGTACGTTGACAACAAGGCCGCCATTGCCTTGTGTGAGGAGCACAGACTGGAGCACAGAACGAAGCACATTGCTCTGCGTTACTTCCTGGCTCGAGAGTTGCAGCAGCGAGGCCAGCTTTGTCTTCGTTACGTGGCCACTCGGGCCAACACTGCTGATATATTCACCAAGGCACTTCCGTCTGGTGATCATCAGCGCTTTTGTACTCTGTTAGGCCTTGTGCCTACGTTTCCACACTTGCTGTAGTCTCTGCTTGTACTGTGATCTATATATATACATGCATGCCTGCTCTTGCTAGGTAGTCATCACTGTACTGTTATTGTTGCATATATATCTCTGCATGTGGACTGGCCTTGTGGCCCTTTGCTTGTGCTCAGAATGTGTGGTGACGTTGAGATCCACCCTGAGCTTGCTTTGCTTCTCTTGACTGGTCGTTTGACCCCTTGTTCTCCCCCACTTTGCCTATGGGGGTGTGTCAAACATATATGCTGCATATTGTCTAGGCTGTAGTGGGGTAGCCCATATGGGGTACAGCCCAATTAGGGTTTACTACTTGTACTCCTGCATGCTGCTAGTTCATTCATTCCTGCTGCTAGATTCTGACAAAAGCTACACTGCTGCCAATCATGAGTAGGCCAAAACCAAACCTGAGCCCTGCATAGCACTGTAGGTTGTTTTTCTTACCGTAATTGTGAAACTGGGCACGTCAGGCCATGTCAGTGAGTGTAATTCAACAACAAATGTGACAAGAGGTACTCCTTTGCAAAGCACTGTACACCTACTGGAACATTTACTTGCTTTATGTATCAACACACTCTTTACGGGCGCAAACTCGTGTCATCCTGCTTCGGGCGGCGTCTTCCATGGGGGGGTTGAATGTGGACTTGGTGGATCGGGAGAGGGACGATGTCGAGGTGGAGGGCGGGCCTCTTTGGGTGGAGGCCCCCTACATGGTGGATGTGCAGATGTGACTTGGGGGGGGAGGGGGAGGGGGCGAGGGGGAATGGGGTGCGAGATGGGACGTCTGGTAGGGGATCCTGGTTGGGTTTTTTCTTTATGGAGTATTTTTATGGGGCTTTTTATGGGTGTTGCGTTTGAGTTGTTTCTGGTGTCTTTCTTTCCCTTTTCCTTCTCCCTCTTTCCCTTTTCCTCTTTCTAACACACTCTTTACAGGTATCTATCTGCTATGGAGGACAGGCATTGGCTGCTTGTTGATGATGACCATTGACCATTGACCACACCACAAACTGAGGATGCATGAACCATGAACATGAAGACCTTTACACACCCAACATCCCACCTACACTGTGGACTGCAAGCCCCAACACGAGTCTGCTACGCAGGGTCCTCGCTAGGATTTGAACCCCCCTGATGCATCAGATATTTTGCCTTTGCGTGTCTGATGCATCAGAAATTTCAAAAGTACTTGTCTGACCAATTAAAATAGAGTTTCTAGCGTATAGATGCACGTGGGATAAAAAGTTGAGTCTGACTTTTCTTGACCTGTCACATTCATTCGAAGTACACACTGGTGTGATTCGGACTTCACTGGTCTCAGCAAAATCGCCCTAACACGGCAGATTCGCCCTGTCAGAGCACAATATATCGCCCAATCAGAGCTTAATTCGCTCTGACACGGCAGATTCGCGACGTCAGAGCGCAACATGTTCGTCCAATCATAGAAAACCCGTCCTGACACAAGAGATTCGACCTTACACAACACAGCAGATTCGCTTAGACAACAGATTCGCCCTGTCAGAGCATGTTCTGCGGGAAATCCCCGTACTCTAACATGTTTCGGTTTCAGACGAAACATATAATACACTTCTGATGGATCAGATGAAGTCAAAAAAATATTTCTACTCAATCAGATGAAAAAATAAATTATTCCTTGAAAACCAGATCAACTGGATAAAAATCGTCTGGAAACTAAGACAAACAGACAAAAATGTCTGATGTCGAGGACCCTACTGCTACGGTACTATGTTATGTTGGTGACAGGAATCCACTATAGTCACAACTTAGTCACAACTGGTCCACACTTCATCATTGTCACGCTCACACCTAGGCAAACCAAACCAGCAGACATGTAAGATACCGTACAACAAGAGCTAGGCCTAGCTAAAGATGGATAAGGGCCCGGGGGGCAAGTCTACTGTAGAAACAGGCTCTCTAATGCATATCTACAATAGAGCCCCTTTATTTTCCGCTTCCAGTGTTTCCCTGTCGCCCTTACAGCACGCTGATTCACTTGGTTTTCAATACGGATAAATATTTATTGATGAATATTTACGGTATGAATAATTATGCTCTCTCCTGCAAGCAAGAGGGGCAAATTGGCAGGAGTATGGGGATAGGGCGTACATGGGAAGGGGCAAAACTTGTAAGTACAAGAGCAGCAAAAGGCAGGAATGCCTTCAAAACAACAACAAACAAGTGACCGACGAAAGAAGGAGGTGTAATCGAAATCAGAGCAACATATGAGATGTGTAGTACTCACTTTAAATAATCCGCAGAAGTGGCCCTGCAAGAATAGGATGAGAGACAGATGAGAGCAAAGGGGGGGATGGTACCCGCGTGTGAGTGAGGGTGGGGAACACAAATGCAAGCACACAACGCGTATACGAGTGTGCGAGCACATGAGAGAGGAAGATGGGGACCAAAAGAAACTTGATGTGGATAAACGGTCTGTGCAGCATGCAAGCACACCTACAAACCACAAACTCCAGACCTTGCAACTCAGAGACGCTGTGAACCATGTGCATCGGCCACTCACATTTTCGCATATCGCAAAGCTTAGAGCCCGCATGTCCATGTCCGCAAGTGTGTCCAATGCATTCCAAACCTGCACACGCAACAAGTTATAAGATGCAAACAGTGAACCCTCCGCCTGCCATTGCCTGTCTTCATTACACACTGCTAGCACAGTGCGATAGATCCATTCAACCTAACGCCTGGGCATGCTACCTTGCAACAGGCACCTTGGAAACACACAAGGCTCCATTGCTTTCGCAACCAGGGCTACCCCGCAGCGAATTTCAGCTCGTTTCAAGTGAGAAAAATGTGTGCCTTTTTTCACCCTCCTAACTGAGACCCAAAACCTGGAACCTCGAGAAAGGTAAGCTTGCGACAGCAATGAGCGGTTTCGAAGGGAGCGGCATTACCTTGCTGCGGCAGAAAGGGCATTTGCCATGGTCATCGGCAGCAGCAGAACGAGCCGCCAGCTGTCGATACAGCCTGATGGGTTTGGTGGGGGTGGCGACAGGAAGATCAAACAAGCATTTGATACACAGTTGTGCAATGTGGGTGCAATAGGAACTCAAAGAGACACAGAAGGAGGTGGGGGGAAGAGGGAAGAGAAGATGGTGCGTCGACCCAGAGAATCTGACCAAGAATGAAGGAGAATGTCAGCTTGAAACAGCCAAGCATGACGGGGAACAGGCAACAAGGCCAAAAGGACGCATCCATCATTATGTGCACTATTTTTGGGAACTGGCAGTGTGAGTGATACCAGCGGTCCTTACTTGGTGCGTGGGAAGGCATCGATGAAGCCTCGGCAGACGGAGATGTCCCAGATGTTTGATGACAGCTCCATCACAGCAAATGATGCCACTGCCTCCCCCTCCCCCTTCCCCTCCCCCTCCCCCTCTCTCTCTCCCTCCCCTTCTCCCTCCCCCTCTCCCTTTCCCTTTCCCTCTCCCTCTCCCTCTCCCTTCCCGATGGAGGTGGAGAGCAGTGCAGGGGGAAAGAGATCCGAGATGAGGTAGGGCGAGAGGAGGCACGTCTCATCCACGTGCCCCACAAGCCCCAGGCTCTTCCTGTCCCTCATGCCCGACAACATGGCTGCCATGTATGCGTCTCTTTCTTCCGCTGTTGATTCCTCCTCCATTGCTGCTAACTCTTCGCCGATGTCCCTCCATTCATGTGTGTCTCGCGCTGCAGCGTCGCCACCAGCATCAGTATCAGCATCAGTATCAGCATCACCATCAGTATCACCATCAACATCACCATCAGCATCACCATCACCATCAGCATCACCATCACCATCAGCATCACCATCACGCACCTCCCCATCATCGTTATCATTCCACATGCGCACGTAACGCTCCACAAAGTCATCTGCGTCATCCCCGTTTCGATACCCATCACCATCCCCATCCCAGTCCTCGTACCCCGGCCCCCTCAGACTCGCGTCAATGTCAATCCCTCCTCCTCCTTCCCCCACCTCACCCCTCCTCCTCCTCCACCCCAACCTCTCTCCGATTCTCGACACAACCCTCCTCCCCTCCCTCCCCGCCGTCGTCTCGCCCACCCACCTAATCAGCCTCCTGCCTCTCCGCACGGCGGCGCGCTGAGCAGTCTCCGCAGCGTGTTTCACGACGACGCCCGCGAGATACGCCACGACGACCGGCGCGAGCACGGCGATCACAGGCACCCACGCAGCGCGCGCCGCGGCGCGCCTACACCTGCGCCACGCGCCCCTACTGCGAGAATCATCCAGCATAAAATCTGAACAGCGGCTCGCATCGTCATCGTCGAAAAATCCGTCGGACCACCATTGGCCGACTTTCCCCATTAGCTCCTTAATCCGTGGGTTCTGTAAACTGAACGGCACCTCCGCGATACCAGGCGAATAGCTGAGAAGCTTCGGCGAAAGAGCGGCCGCTGGTAACCCGACGAGTTTCCGCGTGGAAATACTCGTTAGGCGAGTCGAGTGCGCGTCACCGGCGTCGCCGTTCAGCGCCGCCAGATTCTCCATCATCTCCTGTCGCTCGTTAATAACTCGAACGAGATCTCTCGCGCGGGTGTGACAGTAGAGCGGCCAGAGGTCGGTCGCGGCGAGACAGCGGAGCCGCGTGCAGCAGGTGGCGAGGACGGCGATGGCTCGGAGAGGGCGACCCGTCATACGCGCTATAGTCAGGAGGACATCCGCGTCCAGATCAAGAAACCCTGTTACCTGTCGCTTGGTCTGCATTTCTTGCCGGCGAAAATACATCGGCGTCGGGACGCGGTCGATCGTCGAGGGACGAGTACTAGCTGAAGAAGCATGGTCAACCGGACGGTCAACTGCATGGTCCACGGAACTCTGATCAGCGGGATTGTGGTCAACGGCACCGCTTTCCATGATACCAATTGAGCCATGCTGCATCACGGATTCGCCACCAATAGTCGGATTCGTCGGTGTCGTCGCTCCCGTCGTTGAAGCTTCACTGGCGAACACCATTTCAGCACGGTCATCTAGGTCGCTTATGTCGCCACCATGGTTATCTATAAATTCATAGTCAATGCTCGGGTTCGCCTCGGATGGGACGGTCGAGTCGAATGTGCCTGAAGGAGACGTCCATGGCTGATCCTCAAATTTGTAATTTTCATGGCGGTAGGAATCCCGCGTTACTTCGCCAGCTTGCCCCAACGCCTCGCCATTGCAAGTGCATTGTTCCTGCTGCCATTCCTGTTTGCGTCTGGCTAAGGTTTGCGGTGGTGCCTCCATCGTTGTTGAAGTGTCGTGTGGTGACTGATAGAGCAGGCTCCCCACTAAAACTGGACCTGCTCGTGGCGAGAACACACGAATAAATACTATGGACGAGGGGAGATTCAAGTGCGTACTAACCGCCAGCCAACTAAAGCGGCAGCATTTTTATACAGTACGGTGAAACCTGCTGGCTGGAAGGCATCGGGGGGAGAATGAATGTTGGCGTGGAGGAAACGTGAACGAACGTGATGTGAAGGGGGTCCGCGAGCTGCCCCCAGTCCGCAAGCCTCCCCAACGCCAAGGGGGAATGGAGCAGCACACGACGAGGTCCACCTACGCGACTGACCAATCACGGCAGTACCGTGTTTGCAGTGCAACTATTTGATTGGTGGTTTAGGTTTGTCACGAGGCGTGGGCCAATGTCATGTTTGACTTGGGAAGAAGGACGCAGAATTTCCCCCACCCGCCCCGTTTCGAGTGCAATCTAGCAAGCGAGCGAAGATTGCACCTGGGACACAACATAGCGAAACAGGGTGGTAACAGTGGAAATTGTGGAACCGTAGCATGTCCCAAAATATCAGGGTAAAAACCCTTTTACCCTTTTTTGGCCACTTCTGTTGACTTACCCTAATCCTGGCTGTATAACAGGATTCGTACCCTTTTTCAGAATGAGTGTTTTTTTGGGTTGCGTAGCAACCCTATACATTTGGTAGCACTTTTCGGTCGACTCGAATGAACAGTGCATTTTTTGTCATTTTCCCAACGTTTAAAGCCCTCGTTTTAACGTTTTCCAAACGAGTGCTCCAAAAGTGTGGACATGACGCAAGCACTGATAACACAAGAGTCCCCCAAAAATGGAACCAAATGTAACCTTTCATTCCATAATCGTCGATAAATACGGCGAATGGAACAATTGGTCGTCACGAAACACAATTGATGAGAAACACGCACTAGACGTGAACGCGAAGCATGTGCAATGCATCCTTTGAACACGTGCAAAAACAGCACATCACAACTGAGAGTGAATGCTAAAATGCATCGGTGCTACAGCAGAGGTGGTTCCGGTATGCTAAGGCGAGCAACGCTGCCCCAACAACGATCCCCACCTCAAATGCAGACCCGACACACTTTAACATCACACCTCAGTTGCTCAACACGTGCAAAAACAACACAAGCAACTGCGAGTGAATGCTAAAATGCATCGGTGCTACAGCAGATGTGGTTCCGGTATGCTAAGGCGAGCAACGCTGCCCCAACAACGATCCCCACCTCAAATGCAGACCCGACACACTTTAACATCACACACCAGTTGCATATACGAGGCACTTTAGCACACGCCCCGAGACAGACAGGTGCAAACAGACAAGCACACATATCTCACACAGGCTCACACAAGCACGTACACAGACGCATTAAGCACATGCACAGCATGTCAAACTATATGTACTGCAGATTGTCTAGGCTGTAGTGGGGTAGCCCATATGGGGTACAACCCAATTAGGGTTTACTACTTGTACTCCTGCATCCTGTTAGTTCATCCATTCCTGCTGCTAGATTCTAACATGGTTTCAGAGCACTAAGGTCCGTAGGACCGTTTTTTTTCGGGCCCACCTACCGCTGCGGTTACCGCGCTACCCCACGTACCTGCCTGCCTTGCCTTGCCTTGTGACGTGCTGCACTACGCGCGCCGTCCAGCAGCCCTAGCGCTGCCTCCTGCTGCCCTAGGCCAGCGCGCTGCTTCTAGAGGCCCGTAAGGCCCGCGCGCCGCCCCTACACGCCCTTCAGGCCCGCGAACAGCCCCTGCAGACCGTTAGGCCCCTTGCTGCCGCGCGCTGCCCGCACCGAGCCCGCGCAGCCCGCACCGAGCCGCGCGCAGCCCGCTGCAGCCGCGTGCTGCCCGCACCGAGCCCACGCAGCCCGCCGCAGCCGCGCGCAGCCCGCACCGAGCCGCGCGCAGCCCGCTGCAGCCGCGCGCAGCCCGCACCGAGCCGCGCGCAGCCCGCTGCTGCCGCGCGCAGCCCGCGCCGAGCCCACGCAGCCCGCGTCGAGCCGCGCGCGGCCTGCTACGGCCTCGCGAGGCCCGCGCGCGGCCCGCGCCGAGCCGCGCGCGGCCTGCTACTGCCTCGCGCGGCCCGCGCGCGGCCCGCAGCAGCCCGCGCCGAGCCGCGCGCGGCCCGCTACTGCCTAGCGCGGCCGCGCGCGGCCTGCAGCAGCCCAGCGCGCTGTCAGCGCAGCCCGCGCCGAGCCGCGCGCGGCCCTCTGCCTCGGCCCCGACCTGCCGCTGATGCGGCCCCGCCCTGCAGCTGCCACGGCCCCGACCTGCCGCTGATGCGGCCCCGCCCTACAGCTGCCTCGACCCCGACCTGCCGCTGACGCGGCCCCACCCTGCGACTGCCGCTGAAGCGGCCCCGCCCTGCAGCTGCCGCGGCCCTACTCTGCAGCCGTTGTTGCGGCCCCGACGTCGCCACTGTCGTGCGCCTACTCGGCCGCCGCCCGTCGAGCGCCGACCCTGCTCGCCCGGCGAGCGCCTGCTCTTCCAGCCTTTGGTGAGCACCTGCCTGCCTGCCTGCAGGCCTGCCTGTCTGCCTGCCTGCCTGCCTGCCGGCCTGCCTGTCTGCCTGCCTGCCTGCCTGTCTGCCTGCCTGCCTGCCTGCCTGCCGGCCTGCCTGCCTGCCTGCTTGCCTGCCTGCCTGTCTGCCTGCCGGCCTGTCTGCCTGCCTGCCTGCCTGCCTGCCAGCCTGCCTGCCTGCCTGCCTGCCTGCCGGCTTGTCTGCCTGCCTGCCTGCCTGTCGGCCTGCCTGCCTGCCTGCTTGCCTGCCTGCCTGTCGCGCCTGCCCTGCCCGCGCTACTGCTACTACTCCTGCTATTAGCAGGTGGCCAGATGCAGCTCCAGCGTCGTTCCTGCGTGTCTCTCACGCCCCAGCAGCTTGATGAGTGGTATAGGGTTTGGGGCTGTCGAGGTGGCCGTCGTAGCAGTCGCCCTGGAGCTGGTCAGTTGGGGGCGTCTGGCAGTGGCCAGCTGCAGCTGCAGGGGCGTCCTCGCGAGACACTTACGCCCCGGCAGCTCCAGGAGTGGTACACTCAGTGTAGCAGGTCTACGCGTACCGTTCGCTGCCCGTACGTCATTCGCACAGGTGTTAGGACTGGTCAGCCTTGCGGGACGCTTGGTCACACACAGTCCCGCTGCTTCGCCCGTCTGAGCGACGCCTGGCGTACCGTGTTTGGAGACGAGGCTGAGCTCCCTGCCTGGCCGGAGCTGCTTGGACAGAGGGTAGATATCTTTGCACTTGACTATGATGCTATTCTCACTGCTATGTATGCATTGCCTACTAGTGTCGACCGTGCCTGTTACCTGTGCGTCCCGCCTGACCCTGGTATAGCGCCTGCTGCTCTCGGTACTGGTGAGGCTGCTGCTCTAGGTGCTCGTGCGTCTCCTGCTCTAGGTGCTGGTGAGACTGCTGCTCTAGGTGCTGGTGAGTTTGCTCTTTCTGGTACTGCGCCTGCTGCGGTCTTGCACACCTTCACCCTTGACTCAGGAGCTTCTCGCTCTTTCTTTCGCGACTGCACCACACTCACGCCGCTCAGTCGGCCAGTTCCGGTCTCCCTGGCGGACCCCTCTGGGGGTCCAGTCCTTGCCCACTACTCCACGGTTCTGCCGTGTCCGGCCGTCCCGTCTGGCTTCCTGTCAGGTCTTTACCTCCCCTCGTTCTCTACGAACTTGGTGAGTGGAGGAGCCCTCCAGGATCACGGGGTTGACCAGTTCACTCCTGCGAGTCAGCGAGTGACTCACTGCACGTGTGCTAGGACGGGCCGGCACTTGGCCACGTTCACCCGTGCACCTGGCTCGAGTCTGTACACACTGACCACTGTGTCCCCTCAGGTAGCTGCGTCTGCGTCTACGTCTGGTCAGCTGGCGGCCCCCTGCGAGTGTCGCGCTTTGTCGCACGACACTCTCCTGTGGCACCACCGCCTTGGTCACCCCTCCTTGCCTCGCCTGCGTAGCATGCACTCTCGCTCCCTGGTCTCTGGTCTTCCCAGGTCTCTGCCTGCCCTCCCTCCCTCGCCTGCGCCGCCCTGCATTCCCTGCGTCGAGGGGCGGCAGCGCGCCGCTCCTCACTCCTCCTCGTTTCCTCCCACAGAGGCTCCCCTGCAGACGCTCCACCTGGACGTGTGGGGCCCAGCCCGCGTCCAGGGACAGGGCCGCGAGCGGTACTTCCTGCTGGTCGTCGACGACTACACGCGTTACACCACGGTCTTCCCCTTGCAGAGCAAGGGGGACGTCCCTGATGTTTTGATCCCTTGGATCCGCACTGTTCGTCTCCAGCTCCGCGAGCGATTCCGGCGGGACTTTCCTGTCCTGCGTCTGCACTCTGACAGAGGTGGTGAGTTCTCCTCTGACCTCTTGGCAGCCTACTGTGCGGAGCACGGCATCACCCAGTCGTTCACGCTTCCGGCCTCTCCACAGCAGAATGGGGTTGCTGAGCGCCGCATTGGCTTAGTCATGGAGGTCGCTCGTACCTCCA